TCGTTCAAGGAAACCATGTCATTTGATGAAACAACACTATTGTTTTAAATAATATTTTTTAAAAGTTTCTCTCAAAATTTAGTAATTCGATTTGTTTAATTTGGATTTTCTTGGATTTTTAATTTGTTTTTTTGTTGGATTAATCATTATAACATTTTGTTAAAAATGTAAAAGTAATTATCACTGGTTCACTACATTACATCAATATTCATCGCATATCGAATGTTGCATTGTTTCAATATCTATCAACAAATTATCCAATAAACAACAAGTAAAAATTATATAACTATTATTTGGTGTTTGCTAGGTATGTTATAATATACTGTATATATTTTGCTAGGTTTTGCTAGGTATGCTATAAGGATACATTATATAAGCATGAATTGTAAGAACATCGTTGGAGTCATCAGAGTCACCGCGTGCGCGCTCGATCGTCAGGTTAAGCAACAGTTTAATGCGGTCAGGACATGGATGGGTTTGACCAGTGGTATACCGCTTAGGATCAGAATTATCGCAGGAAGATTCATGAAAGTTTGGAATGTGTTGATAACTTCGATATCTAGTAGTTTATGAGACATGAGAAAATTAGGAATGTAAGTATATTTTTGTAAACATTATGATTTTCTCATTTTTCACCTTCGCATAATAATTCTCAGTATTTGATTACTATATCAATATTTAACAGTGATTTTATTATCAGTATTCACCAGAAATTAAGTACTGGCCAAAAAATTACTGAATTACTGGTAATATTTAATCACTAATAATTTTTCAGTATTTCTTAGTATGATATTTCTATAAGAGTGATAATATGTATTAGGTATTCTTGATTAGATAGAAATATCTTGATATTTTCTGAAAGGCAATACAGGGTTTTATCTTATTCTTCATGTAAAAATAATTATTAAAATTGTTAAATTGCAAAATAAAATTTCTCAATATTTAGCTGTTAAAAATTTTTAATAAATTTAATAATAAGATCCCATACAGAGCACAAACGTTGAATCAACATTTCAGAAACGTTGCATTGCGACATTGCAATGTTGTATCAACATTTTTAAATGTAAATTCAACATTGAAAAGACATTGTAGAAATATCTAATGTCCGCTGAATTGTAATGTCTTAGACGTTGAAATTTAATATTGTCAAATATTGACTTAACATTGGCCGCGTTTAGCGTCAGAAATTTTTTTTACAACTGTTGGAATTTTTCTATGCTAAGATTGGATTTTACAGATTTATTGAAACACTAGTATGCAAAGATTAAGAATACTGATCGATTTTCTTCGTTATTCAACATATAAAAATATTAAAGTAATGTTGTTGAACAGTTAATATAATAGTTTAATATAATAATTAATAAGATATTCCATATTTTGTACTGAAAAATATTAGGATATAATATAAAATATTTCGGAAAATATTCACATTTTCTTCTCAATACGCAGAATAACTAAAGAAATCGATTTATTTTAAAGGAACCATATGATTCTACATAAAAGATTAAATGTAATCTTGACATGATTTTAACAAAGTCAAAGTGAATAGCATCATCATTAGATATTTCTATCTAATCAAGAATATCTAATACACGTTACCAGCGCATCATCTATTGAATAGAGATAACTTAAGTAATGATAAAAGTAACAGTTGAATTCATTACCGTTATTGTAAAAATGTAATGACGTTACATTTTACGTTAGATTATGAACCGTTACATTATGCATCATCAGACTATACAAATTGTTTGAAACATTTTTTGATGAAATCCTTGATTTTCGAGAAATTTCAATATGCCATTTAAAAGGATCTTTAAAACTTTTCAGTATCTCTACTTGAATTTCAAAAGATAATAATTTTTTCAATATTGTTTTAATGTTGTAGCAACATCAATGTAGAAGAAACAATATAGATTCAATGAAAGATATTTATATTTAAATATTCAACATTACATCTCAGCAACGTTGTTTCAACTTTCTGTGCTGTATGGGTAGAGAGAAAGAATGTAGTTTACTCTTTTGTAAAAAACCATGGAACAGTTGTGTGTATTACACTAAACATATTTATTAAATTTATTAAAAATTTTTAAGAGTCAAATTGCAAAATCTGACTATGTATCGGCAATAATTTTTATGTGAAGAATATATAAAAGATAAGAAAAATAGAAAAAAACTCATAAAGAAATATTAGTTCTCCGAGTCAAGAGTGTTGCAATTTTGAATGGTTTTAATTTATTTTAATTTAGTATTATAAAAAAACTAAAAAAATAACGAACTGTTATTTTCTTAATAACAAATTGCTTTTTAAAACTAGTAACGGTAATAATCCCGATAATACAGAGAATTCAAAAAGAATTTAGTTATATATCATCAATTCTGAGTTTATTTTCAGATGCAAAAAGAATTCTTCAGTTCAGTGAAAAGAATTCTTTTAGCATCTAAAAGTAAATTCAGAATTGGTGGCAATGACTGAATTGTTTTTGAATTCTCTGTGCTATCTGGGAAGTTACTTTTTACGAAAAATAACGATAACGGTAGAGCGTTACCGTTTAAAATAACTTTTTTAAAATAACTACCAACTCTGTATGTCATATATACGTGTTGTTATATGTAGACGTAGAATATCATAATTTACGCATAACAGCTCTAAATGATAACAGCCCTAAAAATCGCCAACTTTCGTTTTCAATTATTTCCCCATATTCCCTAAACTTCCCTATATTTTCCTGATTTATCTCCCAGTGACTTTCATCTCTTTTCCAACATTAAAAAGTTTTTAGCAGAAAGGAAATTTTATTCAAAAAAGGAAGTTATCATTGAAATAAACGTCTATTTTGAAAACTTCAACAAATCGCTCTATTCTGATAGAATAAATAAACATTAGTCTTAAATGAGATTATGTAAAAAAAGAAATTTACTAAAATTTTGTGTTAAATTATATCTGATTCCGAGAACTTTCCAAACAGCTCTGACATTTGTATCGATATCTAACGGTATAGATCGAGAATATGTAATGCAATTCTGTAGCAATTCTGTGCATGTATGTATATATTTTCTTAATACTGTTAGTAATTATACAGTTCACATAATTATCGTATGTTTTGTACGCGTAAGAACATCAGATACGATTATATGTTGGCCATAAAACGAAATTTCTTACATAAACAGATTTCTTTGCAATCTGCAGCACGGTACATAATTACCGAAAATTTTTCGATAAACCAGCTAAACAAATATATTACAAAAATAAAAATTGATTTAAAGATTACAATAATAATGTAATAATATTTAATATATTGTTGACCGGCTGTTTTTATCCAATTGGATAATATTCTTATTTCCGACTGTATGTCCATCATTTTCAAAATGAGATAACTTGTGAATCACTCAACAATATTCAACACAGTAAAATACAAATTTCCTCGTGTTCGATCAATGTGTTAAGAAATTATTAGTATATGCATCGGAAATATATATAAATCCTGTTTATACGTATCTTGTATACTTCTACAAATGATCTCTAAGAGAGTTTAATCTATTCCATAATCTTATCCATTTCGTTATTTCTGAGCATTACAAACGTTACGCGCTTATTATCGTAACGCTTGACATATTACTTCTCTCTTAGATATTTCATACAAATGATATATTATACAAATATATAGATCGCTTTCTACAATCACTAAATATCTCGATCATTGTTTACATTGTTACGGTTTTATTAAAAAAGTTTCTCAGTCAGAAAAATAGTAGCCGGCCAAATAATAAGCATACAATGATCGTGAAAGCTTCTTACCTACATTAAAAACACTGCGTATTACTAAATACTTCTAAATACATATATATATGTACAATTTTGACCGAAAGAAATGTATAGATAACAGAAGCATCTTTGTTACAATGATAGGTTAGTACAATTTTCGCTTAGAATATGCTTTTCTTTCACATAACAATCATAAATATATACTATTTCGTGCATAGATTTCGTACATATTCTGGTTTAGAAATTATAATATATCTGTTACGCTGGAGACAATCGTTTTCAACGAGATTAAATTCGTAAAAAAATAAGTAATCTATAGGTCTCTCCAGTGATTAATGTAACCTTTATGGAGCATATTTTTTTATTAAAACTAAAACAAGTGTAAACAGTCAATTGTTTTTTCATTATCAAAATATCGTAAATTACGCTCAAAATGTAAAATAATGTCGAGATCGATTTTACTATTGATAATTACATATTGTTATGAAGAAGTTTAGCTAATTTATATATATATATATATATATATATATATATATATATATATATA